TTGAGTTTGATAAGTTCTTTATAGATTTTGGATACTAGCCCTTTATCTGATATGTCATTTGCAAATATCTTCTCCCATTCTGTCGGTTGTCTTTAGGTTCTGTTGACTGTTTCTTTTGCTCTTTTACCTTAGTCTTACAGAATCCACACATTTCTGAAGTTACTTAGATCAGCACCTACCCCATCCTACCCCCTCAACCCCTTCAGTGGTATTATTTCAAATATTTCATACATATAGTGAGGCTGTTTTATCACATTTTTGCTTTCAATCCTGGGATCCTTTGAATCCTAAATTATTTTTTTTTAATTTGTGTTCATTAAGGTTCACTTTTTATGCTGCAGTATTCAATAAACATAAATGCACAAATGTGTAGTATCATGTATCCTATATTACAGTATCAAAGAGTATGTTCACTACCATAAAACCACACTGTGCTGCTCAAATTCAACTTCCCCTTCCCTCTTTCAGAATTCCTGGCAACCAATTATCTTTTTAGCCTCTTTAGAGTTTTGCCTTTAATGGAATGCCTTATGAATGAAATAGTAGTTCAGTATGCAGCTTTTTCATACTGGCTTCCTTTACTTAGCAATGTGTACTCAAGTTTCCTCCATGTCTTTTGTGGCTTAGTAGCTCATTTCTTTCTTTCTTTCTTTTTTTTTTTCTGAATAAAATTCAATTGTATAGATGTACCACATTTGCTTATTCATTTACCTATTGAAGAACATCTTGATTGTTTCTCATTTTGTGCTATCATAGATAAAAGAGCTATAAAGATTGCATGTTGGGTTTTGTGTGGACATAGTTTTCAAATCAGTTGGATAAATACCTAGAAACATGATGGCTGCATCATAGGGTAAAACTATGTTTAGCTTTGTAAAAAAATTAGAAAAATGTCTTCCAAAGTGACTGAACTATTTCACATTCCCACCAATAATGCATGACTGTTGTGCATACTCGCTGGCAATTGGTATTGTCAGTTTTTTTAGAAAAAAATTAGGCATTCTAATAAGTGCAGAGTGGTATCTCATTGTTGGTTCAGTTTGCAATTTCCTAAAGACAATTGACGTTTAATATCTTTTTACTTGCTTATTTTCTATTTATATATCTTCTTTACTGAGATGTCTGTTCAGGTCATTTGCCCATTTTAAAATGGGTTGTTTGCTTACTTACTGTTGAGTTTTAGAGGTTCTTTGTATAGTTTGTATACCATTTTTTTTATCAGCTATGCATTTTTGAAACATTTTCTTCTTATTTTTGGCTTGTCTTCAGATTTTAACTGTATTTTACAAAGAATTTAAAAATTTTTATCAAATTGCAACTTTATAATTTTTTTCATGGAATATGCAGTTAGTGTTATATCTAAAAACTGATTGCCAAGGAGGAGTTAAGATGGCAGAGGCATAGAGCGACCCTAAATTTGTCTTGTTCCTCATATACAACTAGATAGTTATCAAATCATTCTGAACATCCGAGAAGTCAATCAGAGTTCTGAGAAACCAAATGTTGCAAGTTTACAAGTAGAAAAGCAACCACCATTTGGAAGGTAGGAGATTGCGGAGACTTGAATCTGGAGTGATATAGCTGAGGATACAGTGGTGGAGCTGCTTAAGAAGGCTAAGGCAAAGTATTTTAAGCAGTGGAGTGCAAAATTGGAACTTTTGGAAGTCTGCTACGGTGAGGACATGCCTGGCTTAAAGGTGATCAGGTGGCAAAGTGGGGTGGAATCCCAGGTGTGATGGCACGGTGTGAGGATCCTCAGGGTGTCAGAAGTACAGGTGGTGTGTAAGTGTGACAGGGTTCCCAGGCATAGGCGTGGGGAAGCCACTGAGAACAGTGAGTCTAGGTGCTAGCTTTCTGCTCTGTGTTGCCATAAACTGCAAACTGCTGTGCAGTCGTGTGACTGCTTTCCTGGGATGGGTCCAGCAAAAGGCAGAAGTGTGGCAAGACACTCTCCTGGCAGAACAGTGCTGGTCCCTCCTGCGGGAGTCCCTAAAATTTGGAGTTTTGAAACTCAGTTGTATGCCTGATAAAAAAACACTTGGTCACAGGCAGGGTAAGCAGAGTCCTGAGGGAAACCAGGGAGAAAACAGTGATTGATTGTTCTTCTGTGATGGCTCATTGAAGAGCTGGCGGGGGGGCACAAATTTTCAACTCCAGGGCTAGAGAGTGGGGCACTGCCGTATTCATCCCACCCATCAGTGCTGAAAGACTTCAAGGAGCAAAACAGCACCGCCTAGTGGATTCCAGAGCTGGTCTGGAGGCACATCACCACTAGGGCAAGCCCACCTGAGAATCAACACAATAGGCCCCTCCCCCAGAAGACAAGCAAAAATAATTTGTTAGCACCAAGTTTACTGATCATAGAGGGCTGCGTAGCTTCAGCTCTAGGGGAAAACAGTATATAACATCCTTTGCATTTCTGTTCTTTAGTCTTATTATTTTTTTAATTTTCTTATTTTTCAAGTCTTTTTAAATTTTCATGTATACTTTATATATATTTTTATTTTTTGCTTCCTTTTATTGTATTTTTTATATATATTTATATATATTTCTTCTTTCATTTTCAGATCTAGCTTCTTTTATTTTTTAAATTTTATTTTATTATGTTATGTTAGTCACCATACATTACATCATTAGTTTTTTTTTTTTAATTTTATTGTTATGTTAGTCACCATACATTACATCATTAGTTTTTGATGTAGTGTTCCATGATTCATTGTTTGCGTATAACACCCAGTGCTCCATGCAATACGTGCCCTCCTTATTACCCGTCACTGAGCTAACCCATGCCCCCACCCCTCTCCCCTCTAAAACCCTCAGTTTGTTTCTCAGAGTCCATATCTAGTTTCTTTTAACAGGCAAACCAAAACACACCCAGGATATAGGGTTTGTTTTATTTTTGTTTTTTGTTATTGTTGTTTCTGTGTTTTTTCCTTTTTCTTTCCTTCACAAAATAATGAGAAATTCACCCCAAAAGAAACAACAGGAGGTAGTACTCATAATGGGGATTTAATCGGTATGGATATGTTAGATGTCTGAACTAGAATTTAAAACAACAATTATAAAATACTAGCTGGGCTTAAACAAAGCATAGAAGACACCAGAGAATCCAGAAATAAAAGAACTAAAATCTAGTCAGGCTAGAGCTAGAAATGCTATTACTGGGTTGCAGTCCCAAGTGGAGGCTATAAAAATGAGGATGAAGAAATCAGTGATATAGAAGATAAGATTATGGAAAATAATGAAGCTGAAAAGAAGATGGAAAGAAAACTATTAGATCATGAAGGTAGACTTAGGGAACTCAGAGATTCCATAAAGTGAAATAATAACCATATTATAGGGTTCCCAGAAAAAGAGAGTGGGGAAAAAGGGGCAGAAGATTTATTTGAGCAAATTACAGCTGAGAACTTCCCTAATATGTGGAAGGAACAGGAATTCAAGTTCAAGAGGCACAGAGAAATCCGCTCAAAATCAACAAAAATAGGTCAAGTCTAAAACATTTATAGTGAAACTTGCAAATTGCAAAGATAAAGAGAAAATCTTGAAAGCATCTCCAGACAAGAGGTCCTTAACGTACAAGGGTAAACATATAAGGCTGGCAGCAAACCTGTCCACAGAGACCTGGCAGGGCAGAAAGGACTGTCATGATGTATTCAACATGCTAAATGGGAAAAATATGCTGCCAAGAATACTTTATCCAGCAAGGCTGTCATTCAGAATAGGAGAGATAAAGAGTTTCCAAAACAAACAAAAGCTAAAAGGAATTCATGAACACTAAACCAGCCCAGCAAGAAATATTAAAGGGAAACTTTGAGTGGAAAGAAAGCCCAAAAGTAATAGACCAGAAAGGAACAGAGACAGTCTACAGGAACAACTTTACAGGTAATACAATGGCAGTAATTCATATCTTTCAATAATTACTCTAAATGGACTAAATGCTCCAATCAAAAGACATAGGGTATCAGAATGGATAAAAAAATAAGACCCATCAGTATGCTGCTTACAAGAGATCCATTTTAGACCCAAAGAAACCTCCAGATTGAAAGTGAGGGGGTAGAGAATGATTTATCATGTTAATGGACATCAAAAGACAGCTGGAGTAGCCATCCTTATATCAGACAAACTAGATTTTATCTATTTTTTTTAAGATTTATTTATTTATTTTAGAGAGAGAGTGTGTGAGTGGTGGGAGGGGCAGGGGAGAGGGAAAAGGAGAGAGAGAATCTCAAGCAGACTCCCTGCTGAGCATGGAGCCTGATATGGGCCTCAATCCCAGGACCCTGAGATGACAGCCTGAGCCAAAATAAGGAGGTGGATACTTAACTAACTGAGCCAACTGGGACCCCCAGACAAACTAGATTTTAAACCAAAGACTATAATAAGACATGGAGAAGGACACCATATCATAATAAAGGGGTTTATCCAACAAAATATATACACTAAATTGAATTTCAATAAAAAATTTTTAAAAAAGGGCGTGCATGTCCTGAGCGCCAGTCTGAGTTTTGTCTCCTGCTTTTAGAGCCACAAAAAGCTGCACCCAAGCTTGTTTGACATCTGTCCTCTCAAATGTCCATGATGCTGGATCCCGAGAGAGGTGAAGGCTTTGTGGTCAAGCTCTGTGGCCTGCCCTGGTCCTGCTCTGTTGAGGATGTGCAGAATTTCCTTTCTGACTGCACAATTCATGATGGGGCTGCAGGTGTTCATTTCATCTACACTAGAGAAGGCAGGCAGAGTGGTGAGGCTTTTGTTGAACTTGAATCAGAAGATGATGTAAAAATGGCCCTTAAAAAAGACAGGGAAAGCATGGGACACCAGTACACTGAGGTGTTCAAATCCCACAGAACCGAGATGGATTGGGTGTTGAAGCACAGCGGTCCAAACAGTGCCGACACCGCCAATGATGGCTTCATGCGGCTTCAAGGACTCCCATTTGGATGCACCAAGGAAGAAATTGTTCAGTTCTTCTCAGGGTTGGAAATTGTGCCAAATGGGATGACATTGCCTGTGGACCCCGAGGGCAAGATTACAGGAGAAGCCTTTGTGCAGTTTGCCTCCCAGGAGTTAGCTGAGAAGGCCCTAGGGAAGCACAAGGAGAGAATAGGGCACAGGTATATTGAAGTGTTCAAGAGCAGTCAGGAAGAAGTTAGGTCATACTCAGATCCCACTCTGAAATTCATGTCTGTACAGCGGCCGGGGCCCTATGACTGCCCCGGCACAGCCAGGAGGTATATTGGCATTGTCAAGCAAGCGGGCCTGGAGAGGATGAGGTCTGGTGCATATAGTGCAGGCTACGGGGGCTATGAGGAGTACAGTGGCCTCAGCAATGGCTACGGCTTCACCACTGATCTGTTCGGGAGAGACCTCAGTTAATGTCTCTCAGGCATGTATGACTACAGATACGGAGACGGCAAGTTCACTGTCCAGAGTACCACTGGACACTGCGTCCACATGAGAGGGCTGCCATACAAAGCCACAGAGAACGACATTTACAACTTCTTCTCTCCACTCAACCCTGTGAGAGTCCATATTGAGATTGGCCCTGATGGAAGAGTGACGGGCAAAGCCGATGTCAAGTTTGCCACTCACGAAGAAGCTGTGGCAGCTATGTCCAAAGACCGGGCCAACATGCAACACAGACACACAGAACTTTTCCTGAATTCCACAACTGGGGCCAGCAATGGGGCATATAGCAGCCAGATGATGCAAGGCATGGGGGTGTCAGCCCAGTCCACTTACAGTGGCCTTGAGAGCCAGTCTGAGTGGCTGTTATGGGGCTGGCTATGGAGGCCAGAACAGCATGGATGGATATAACTAGTTTTGTAGGAGCATTTGAGTTACTGCAGTCATTTTCACAGGCAGCCAACAAGCAGTGAAAAGCAATTATTACTCTAGAGGAAGCTGTGGGACCCATTTTGCACTATGAGTTTGTGAAATCTGTATTAAAAAATTACCTCGGGCTCCTGGGTGGCTCAATTGGTTAAGCGACTGCCTTCGGCTCAGGTCATGATCCTGGAGTCCCTGGATCGAGTCCCACATCGGGCTCCCTGCTCGGCAGGGAGTCTGCTTCTCCCTCTGACCCTCCCCCCTCTCATGTGTTCTCTCTCATTCTCTCTCTCTCAAATAAATAAATTTTAAAAAAATTACCTTTAAAAAAAAAATTACCTCTTCAGTGTTTTCTCATGCAAACTTTCTTCTAGCATGTGATATTGAATAAACTAAAACTATTTTCAGCTTTTCTCAATTAACATTTTGGTAGTGTACTTCAGAGTGATGTTATCTGAGTTAAAGTAGTTTTAAATACATTAAATGGATCTTTTACACCACATCACTGTGAACACACTGGGGAGACGTGCTTTTTTGGAAAACTCAAGGTGCAGATCCCTGATTCAAAGAGGAACATTTCTCATGTTTGTTCATTCTAGTTTGTTTTCATTTAAAATCTTTTAGGTTAAGTTTAAGCTTTTAAATATAAGTTAGTTTTGAAAATTGAGACACATTACTAATACTGTAGGAATTGGTGAGGCCTTGACTTAAAACTTTCTTTGTACTGTGATTTCCTTTTGGGTGTATTTTGCTAAGTGAAACTTGTTCAGTTTTTTTGTTAACTAAATTTTTTTCTTAAAATAAAGATTTTTTCACAATAAAAAAAATTAAAAAAGACTCATTGTCAAACTCAAGATCATCTAGATTTTTTCCCGTTTTTTTTTCTGTAAGTTTTATAGTTTTAATTTACATATAGGCCTAAGATCCATTTTGAGTTAATTTTTGTGAAAGGTATAAGGTTTGTATCAAGGTGTGTGTGGTTTTGTTGTAGGTTTTATGACAATTTGTTGAAAAGACTACCTTTGTTGAGTTCCCTTTGCTTCTTGTCAAAGACCAATTGATTTTTATACGTTTGGGTCTATTTCTGGTCTCTCTATTCTGTTCCATTGATCTATATATCTATTTTTTTCATCAATATCATTCTTTTCAGATTACTGTAGTTTTATAGTAAGTCTTGAAACTGAGAGTGTGAGTCCTTCAAATTTGTCCTTCTTTAGCATGTGTTGATTATTCTAGGTCTCTTGCTTTTACATATGAACTTTTGAATTAGTTTGTATGTATCTATAGAGTAGTTTTCTGGGATTTTTATTGAGATTATATTGCCTCTATAGATCATATTGGGAAGAATTGACATTTAATATTGAGTTCCAACCTATAAACATGGAATATTTCTCCATTTATGTAGGTTTATGTAGTTTTTTTCTTCATAGTTTTGTAGTTGTTCACATATAGTTGTGTACATATTTTATTAGATTTATATCCAGGTACTTCACTTTTTTGGTAATATTTTATTATTCTTTTTTAAATTAAGGAATGAATCCCACTAAAAATTAAGGAATGAATCCCACTAAAAATCATGATACTTTGGAATAAACCTAACCAAAGAGGTAAGAGATCTGTACTCTGAGAACTATAAAACACTGATAAAAGAACTTGAAGATGACAGAAATAAATGGATTAACAAATACTGTTAGAATGTCTGTACTTCCCAAAGGAATCTACACATTTAATGCAATCCCTATCAATATACCAACAGCATTTTTCAAAGAGCTAGAACAAACAATCTTAAAATTTATATAGAACCACAGAAGACCCCAAATAGCCAAAGCAACCTCGAAAAAGAAAAGCAAACATGGAGGCATCACAATTCCAGATTTCAAGTTATATTACAAAGCTGTAATGATCAAGACAGTGTGGTACTGGCACAGAAATAAATTTCAAATTCCATTTGTTCATTACTGGCATATAGAAGGGCATTTGAGACTTATGTATGTTAACATTGTCTTCTGCAAATTTGCTATTAGTTCTACTAATTTTGGGGGGTAATTCTTTGAGATTTTCTACAGAGGCAACCATGTCATCTGTGAACAAAGACAATTTTGTTTTTCCTTCCCAGTTTTGTATATATTTAATTCCTCTTTTGTCTTCTTGCCTCATTTCACTAGTTTGGTCTTTCAGTACAGTGTTGAGTAGAAATGATGAGAGAGTACAACCTTGTCTTCTTCCGGTTCTTAGGGGGAAAATGTTCATTTTCTCGCCATTAAATATAATGTTAGTTGTAGGGTTTTTGTACCTGGTCTATAACAATGAAGAAATTCCCTTCTATTCCTAGTTTAAGAGTTTTTATCAATAACGGATGTTGGATTTTTGACAAATGGGTTTTGTGCATTAATTGATATGATTGTATGGGTTTGTCTTTCTTTTTCTTTCTTTCTTTCTTTCTCTTTCTTTCTTTCTTTCTTTCTTTCTTTCTTTCTTTCTTTCTTTCTTTCTTCTTTCTTTCTTTCTTTCTTTCTTTCTTTCTTTCTTTCTTTTCTTTCTTCTTTCTTTCTTTCTTCTTTTGTTTCTGTTTTTAACCTGTTGAGGGAGTGGTTTTAACTGACCAGTTTTTGAATTTGGAATCAGCTTTGCATCCTGGAATAAATCCTACTTGTTCACAATGTATAATTTATTTTATACATTGTTGTAATTGATTTGTTAATATTTTGTTGAGGATTTTCACATCTATGTTCATAAGAGATAACAATTTGTAGTTTTCCTTTTTTCAGTGTCTTTACTTGATTTTGTCATCAGGTAATGTTGACCTCATAGAATGAATTAGAAAATATTCCTTCTGCTTCTGTTTTCTGGAAGATATTGTAAGAATTGATGTTATCTTTTTCTTAAATGTTTGGCAGAATTCACCAGTGAGCCATCTAGGGGCATTGGCACTTTTTTGGGGAAAATTATTAATAATTGGTTCAATTTACTTAATCACTATAATCTATTCAGATTATTTATTTCTCCATGTATGATTTTCAGTAGTTTGTGTCTTTTGAAGAATTTGTCCATTTCATATCTTTTATCAAATCCATGGCCCTTTATAGTCCTTTTATGTGTATTCCTTTATAATCCTTTTAATGTGTCCATAGAATGAGCGGTGATGCCCCTCTTTTATTTCTGATATTGATGATTTATGTCCTCTCCCTTTCTCTCTCTCTCTCTCTTTCTGCTTAGATTTTATTTTACATTCAATTATTCATTCTCTCATTTTCCCTTTCTTTATGTAGATCTGAAATTGTGGTCTATATTATTTTCCTTTTTCTCTAAAGTACTCTTTTTGCAGGACAGGCATCTGATGACACATTTCACACTTTTCTTTGTCTGAGAAAGCCATTATTTCTTCTTCACTTTTGAAGATTAGTTTTGTTAGTTATTGACTTTGAGGTTGATTTACTTTTTCTAACACTTTGTTTCATTCCTCTCGTCTTGATTCCATGGTTCCTGAGGAGATGTCTGCTATGATTCTGACCCTTGTTACTCTATAGGTGGTAAATTTTTTTTTTCCTTCCTCTGCTTTCTTTCAGTGTTTTCTCTTTGTCTTTGGTTTTCATCAGTTTGATTATAATGTACCCAGATGTTGTTTTTGTTGGTATTTTACATGTTTCCTGAACTTTCCTGATCTGTCATTGAATGTTTCAGTGTTTGTCATTAAAAATTCTCATTGACTTTTACTACAAGTAATTTTTCTTCTCCTTTATCTCTTTCTTGCTCTTCTGGTATTCTATGTGTAAGTTAAACTATTTGAAATTGTTCTACAGGTTTTGAATATTCTTATTCTTTTTTGTCCATTCTCTTTTTTCTTTGCCTGTCAATTTGAAAAGCTTCTATAAACCTAACTTCAGACTCACTGTTTGTTCTGCCATATTCAGTATACTGATGAGCCTATTAAAGACTTTTACTTTTTGTTACAGTGTTTTTGATATATACAATTACCTCTTGATTTGTTCTTATAATTCTCATTTCTTTAATTATGTCACCCATCTAGACTTGCATGTTTTCTACTTTTTCTATTTGACCTCTTGATAGATTTATCATAGTTATTTTAAATTCCATGCCTGATCATTTCAACATATGTACCATATTTGAGTCTAGTTCTAATGCCTGTTTCATCTCTTCAGACTGCTTTTTTCTTACCTTTACACATGCTTTATAATTTTTTGTTGTAACAAAATGTGATGTATTTTGTAATATAAACTGAGGTAAATAGGCCCTTAGTGTGAGATTTCATGGACTTGGGCTGTCTTTAATGTTTGCTATAGTTGCAGGTCATAGGTGCCTCAAATTCTTCCAGTTTCCTTGTGTTTGTGAGAATTTTCATTTAACTCTTTTCTTTTTAGGGTTTTTATTTCTGTGGTGAGATTCCTTATGTGTTAATGTACTTTGGCCCACCTTTTCTGGTAAATCATTTAATATATTTATGTTACTCTTTTAAAGTCTTTTTCTGCATATTCCAAGATATGGGTCATCTGTGATTCTGCTTCTACTGACAGTATTTTATATTGACTTTAGGTCACATTGTCCTATCTTTTTTATGTCTCATAATTTTTAACTGTATGCCAGAAACTGTTTAAAGGTAAATGATAGAGATGAAAGTAACTACTACTTAACTCTAGAAAAGGGATTCCTCTTTCTCTTTGAGGCTGTTAATTTAAGGGGCTAATTTCTTTGATCTGATCTAATACTGAGCTGAATCTGGGCTGGGTTCCAGTTTTAATAAACTTCACTTTATTACTTATTATAAATGTTTTGAAAACATCTTTAGGAATTCCTTTTCAGCTGTGCTTGAGATATAAACCCCAGTAAGATTCTGGTTATCTCTGTTTTACAGTTCACCTGTCAGCTCTGATGGCTACTGATTAGCTCTCTTCTGCTCTTTAATTTTGTTCATGGCTTTCTAAGCCTTGAGAGATTTCTCTCCTCTCCCTGTCTTCTTACCTCACCTAAGTCTTT